CACTGTACTAAATAACTTATTGGGACAGTTTGCTTTAGGAATCAGGAATATAGATATTTTACTGTACCCTCTTTTTTAATTTATTTCTTACTTTTTTGTCACTTTGATATGAACTAAATGGTAGGAAAATTCTCCTACCAATGTACTGCAAAATATATACATAATATTAAATTATGTATATATAATTTTGCAGTACACTGATTGGTCCATTTTCATGCTTTTTTGGTTTGTCTGATTCGGTTCCCTTATGTATTTTCAGTATCGAAATTGCTTTGCCAAACCGGCATTTGGCGGAAAATCAGGCATCCTGAAAAATTTTCTGTTTTTGGGATAAACAATTTGTTTTTTGCTGTGCACAAATTTCATTAACCCCTTAAGGACACATGACATGTGTGACATGTCATGATTCCCTTTTATCCCAGATGTTTAGTCCTTAAGGGGTTAAAGGTATATACATGTACTTTAATATGTATTCTGCCCTTTCTGGCCCATAATACTTGTTACACTTTACTAAATCACCGTAATTGTACTCATTTCTTGCTTATTTTATTTGACCATGCCTGACCTACATTTCTAAACACCCTACCAATAAATACTTTGCAATTTATATATTAAAAATGTATATCATAGGTTAGGATCTATAGTTTCAGTTCTAATGAGAACGTAAACTCTTCTGTGTTTGACAGCATTATGCAAATCTTATAAAATAAAGCAGGTAGATATAATACAGTCTAACGGATAACAGAAATGATAAGTATCGCTGTTTAACCAGAAGATAATTCCATCCTAGCTCTACTGGATTTTATCAGCTGGATTTTTGGCTGAAAATTAAAAAAAAATTGTGAATGAACCTTGCATTTTAGTTGGAATTGCTGCCTCAAAAATAGCATTTATCACCTTTTCAGCCCGTTGAATGCCCTTGGATTGAGAAAAGCACAGCGTTTATTTTATTTTTTTGTTGCATACAGGGGGTTAAAGTATCTAAGCTTTGTTATTAGCAAAGTCTCTTGAAATATCCCATCATTAATTTTATCGGTACTTTCATTCAACACATATTAGATCTAAAGAACCTCAAGTTTCTTAATAGAATCTGTATCTCATGTCCAAAGATTTATCTTCATTATGTCTTTTGGAAGCCTGTTAAAGTTCTCTAAAGTTATTAAAGAGAAGAGAGATTTGAACATCTTGGGTAATATGATGAATTATGTAACCTTTCTGAACACCAAAAGACAAAAAGATGAACAGCTCACTTAAAGAGGCAATAAGAAAAATGATTAATTAATTGAACTCTAACATTAACCAATTTTAAATATAATATTATCTGGCTTTCTGTTGGCAGGAAGTGAAGGCACATTATATATATATAAATTGACAAGCTTTATCCATGACGGGTAAAAAATATCATAAATGAACAAGGGATAGCATAAAAAAAAAAAAAAAAAATGAGAAAGTAGAGTTTTGATCTAGAAAAAAAGAGAGGTACCTTACTGTATCTTGAACCAAACTATCATAATTAACACTACAGAGATTCTGCAACTGAGTAGGTACAACTTTCTATCTGTCAGTTATGGTTGCTGAAAGAACTTCAGTAGGCATCAGATGAAGGATATTAATTAAACTTTAAAGGTAATATTAAACAACAGGGATTATAATAGGTAACAGTAAACAATAAACAAGATAATCGGTTAATCTTAGACACATGCAGATACTAGGAACAAATAGTACTTCCCTGCATACCTATGTAAATTAGCAACAGCTCCACCTATTGTCAGTCAACAAAACACATTGTGTTGCCTCCTAAAATGATATCCAACCAAAATTATTGCTTCCCTGTAGTATCAAAACTACTTGTTAACTGTAAGCATGGATACATACTGGGCTTGTATATAGTGAAAAAATCCTGTACCAGTTAACCAAGTTTCCTGACAATACAATTTAGTTTTTAATCTCCGATTCCTGTTTATGTGGTGGTTGGGCCAAAATTGTCCATTAAAATGTTTTTGTACAAGCCAATAAAGGAGGAACAAAAGCACCTATTAGTGTGCTGAAATGCAAAAATGGCTACAATATTGCTTAGCCTAATGATTAGGCAATGTCGGACATTTTTTCAATGCCAAATCTAAGCATTCTGAATTAAACTATTATATCACTATTAAAAAACAAACAAACCAAAAACCCAAGATCTATAGCGATGATTGATTGGTTTTCCTTTTACAAGCTACTATTAAAGGTAAATTATAGTCACCAGAACAACTACAGCTCAATGTAGTTCTGGTTTGTATAGTATGTCACTGTAGGTTTATTAATGTAAACACTGTCTTTTAATAGAAAATGTATTGTTTACATTGATACCCAGGCACACCGCCAGTTACCACTCCTCAGATGGCCACTGGAGGTGCTGCCTGGGTCAGTGTTGCATAGTGTACAGCACTGCCGCTCAGCGGCTTCACGCTCTGCATGGAGACGCTAAACTTTCCTTATAGAGATGCATTGAATCAATGCATCTCTATGAGGAGATGCTGATTGGCTAGGATGGCGTTGGTGATCTCATTAGCGATAATGAGGATTATGCACACATTTTTTCGAACCTGGACAACATTATCCCTCAAGGATGAGGGTCTATAAGCAGGACTCTTTACCCACAAGACATCGCACATCTACTGCCCAGCTGAGGAAGCCGAGAGGAACTCGACAAAACACGTCCTGGGGACTTTGCCTTGTGGACTTTGCCATAATAGTGTGTTTATTTATTTGTGTTATGAAATGTTTTTACTGATAATTTTTTTCTGTTGGGATAGACCACTTAATAAATAGTTATATACACACATCTGGCATTCAGCTCCTGCTTATATGGGAGTGTAGTCTCTAACTACACACAACGCTTGATTTGAGCCCAAATAGAAGGCTCCACCTCTGTGAGTATTATTCCAACTATTTACTCTCATTTAAATTTGTTTGCCAATATTGCACTATATATTCTCTTTCTGAGCTTAAACACAGGATATAAGAGACGATTTTGCGTAAAGAAGGGAAAGGTCGCCTTAACCGACCTACCTGCGATTTATACTTGAGCTAAGTGTATAGCTCAATTAAATGTGAGTGGTTCCATACATATTCTACACTGGATTTAGTTTTTTTAAAACATTTTACACTATTGGACTTCTTTATATTATTTCTAGGTATCACGTTTTAGACACCATCACCACTGTTTTATACTGTTTTAAGGTAGATAATTCTTTTTTTTCTGTTTATATAGTGCTACACCATACTGGATATTTGTAAATACATTTCCCCCCTCACTACTCCTCAAATGTTCTTGATATTCTTGCTCTATGATGTAGTGCTTAGGGAACGGAGTATGGGAAATGCCGGCTATAAAATGTTTAACGTAATGCTAACTTCACGTACTTGCTGCTTCTATTTCTCTAACAGCCCAACATCGTTTTGCCATCATGTGACAGTGTTAAATGAAGAGAGGAACTGCACTCAATTCCAATTGACACCAGGTGCACTGAAGCAGGACCAGCAAATCCAGGAATGATAAGGCAAAAGAGGAAAGAGTCTCCAGGCTCTCAAAAGTGTTCAAACCTCAGGCAGGCCTATTTTTACCTACTACAAGGTCTTTATTAAGGTTGATAAGGCCTCGTAGTAGGTCAAAACATTGTTGTTTTTCCCTTTTTTACTCAATAAACCTGCCTGCAGCTTGAACACTTTTGAGTGCCTAAAAACTCTTTCCTCTTTTGCCCTATCATATGACAGTGTGGAATATCTCATTTTCAGCTGCACTCACTACATCCACCTTTTTCTCTGACCTAGATTACATACTAGGAGCCAGCTTCTGCCTGCTAATAAGAAGGGATTGAGAGGAGTGGACAAATGAGTCCTGAACAGAGAGGAGAGTTTGTGATTAGTGAGGAAATATGAGCTCCTGACGCTTTGTTTTCCTGACACTATAGTGATCCTTTAAACTAATATTTACTTCAATTCCATCTCTTTGTTACTGCAGCCATTTCTCCTCCTAATATGTGATTGTTTTAAATAAAGGTTTTAAATAAGGTTTGTTAACGTTGTTGGGAGCTGCACCGAGGTCTAATCAAAGGCTTTTCATAGCAAGATTGGGAAAAGCCAGATCTCCTCTGTATCCCAATTGCTAATGACTGCTCGTTGTTTAGCTGACATGGCCCCACTCACAGCATGGCTTGTTATGGAGGACGTTTAGATTCTCCCTTGTACTAATTTGAGGCTAATTTTGACCCCATAGGCTTTTTTAAATTTGTATTAATTTTTTTAATATTGTGGCTGGCTAGCAAGTGCTGGCCAGCAGTCACATGATTAACACTTGTGCCACAGAGCTGTTCAATCCAGTCGGTTTTCCAAACATTTTTGACTGAACCGAAAACACACATTGCTCAAATGCTGGAGGTGCCAAAAAAACGTTCATTCAAAAAAGTTTGTTCAAAAGAATACAATTTTTTTTGCCCTGCACAAGTCTATTTTTCATACATCATAATGAAGAATGTAACTGTGATTATTCTGATATTTTTTGTACAATACAGATTAATTGGTGGTGTTCATCTGTGCACTTCAAATCAGGGGATCGTGTGTTGCCGATAACATGTACTTACAAATACTAACACAGGAAGCAAAGACTGTTTAGAATAAAGCGTTACTGCCTTAAAGCAGTAAGGTGAAAGGGGAAATGAATGTTAGTTTGGTTTTACCCAGTGTTGGAGATATAAGCTTCCCCTTCCCTGACATCTGCACAGCAAACCCCCCTAGACTTTGACCTTTATACGCTTACGTTTACAATAGATCCCCTTTTCTCTGAGTTCTCTAATATAAGGGGTGATGAGAGAGGCTTAATAGAAGTCCTTAATTGTGGAATATTTTACCTGCTAGTATTCCAGTCATAGTGTGATTTCCTTTTAAACTCCACACTGACTTGGAACATACTGCAGAAAAATCCTGCTCCAGGTACCTCTAATAATAATTGTATATAACTCTATTCTAATCTTAAGCCCTTTCAAATACTTACATCTTTTTGGAGATCACATAATAACTTGGTGGTTAAAGGGACACTATAGTCACAAGACTGGCTAAGGTTATTGTATTTGTTCTGGTGAGTATAATAATTCCTTTCAGTCTTTTTGCTGTAAACAGAGCAAGTGCATTGTCTACATTACAGCGTAGGGTTACCTTCACTGGCCACTCTTCAGATGGCTACTGGAGGTGCTTTCTGAGGCAGTGCTGTACAGTATGCAGCACTGCCATTCAGTGTCACCACCCTCTGCATGGAGACACTGAACTTTCTTCATAGAGATTCATTGATTCAAGGCATGAGGAGATGCTGATTGGCCAGGGCTGCTTTTGGCTTGTTCCAGTTTCTATGGGAAAGCATTGTGATTGGTTCAGATCACCACTTCTCATAATGTCAGCCAAGCAGGCAGATCAAGGGCAGAGCCAAAAGCAGCAGACTGGAATAAAGATGATATTTTACTATATTTAGGAGAGAAATTGGGGGAGGAGGGGCTAGATTGAGGTTTTAATAATATAGAATCAGGAGTACAAGTTTGTGTATCTGTCCCTATAGTGTTCCTTTAATTCTAAATTCTAAGTCTTTAAAACTTCCTTTATGTAGGAACAGTTTAGATTCAGGACTATTCCTCCTCCCTGACTAATGCTGACGTCATCTAGATGTGGATTCTATTGCATTTATTGTTACACCAACTTGGCTACAATACTACCTTTCATAAATACCTAAGTGAATACATTTTGCAGCTCTTAGATTTTAGCAAAGTGTAGAATTAAAATTATAAATCCAAGGGGTGCGGCTGACCGAGCTGCGAGCGAGACGTGCTTGTAAGGAGCTCCGCCACAGGAACCATAAAAAAGCTGTCAAATCACCTTCAAAATCGCTTCAAAAGCACAAAAAACGGGAACCCCCACCCAGACGACACAATGGGGTGGAAAAATAAAAAAAACCAAACGCCGGAGACGCGTAAAATGCCTGATATCAGGCTTTCATTCGAAAGGCCAACCCCGCGGGCTGCTCCTAAAATGGCGCTGACAGAGCTAAGTGATAGCGAAGCCTCTGAGGAAGCACATGAGACGGAGCGACATACCGGGACTGGCTATGCAAGCGGTAACCACAGCGAGTCCGGGTCCGACAAGGACTCGTCACTCCTCACCGGCAACTAAACGAGACATAAAGGACTTGTTGCTGGAAATGAGACAAGTATGGAAGGCGGATCTAAGTGCAACCCAAGCTGAGCTGGGAACCCTGCACACACGAATTGCGGACGGGGAAGCCAGAGAAGGAGCCAGGGACAAACTGCTACAAACCGCACAAACAGAAATCCAGGAGCTTACCCACCAAGTCCAGACACTTGCCAGAAGTGTGACGGTAATGGAGTCCAGACACAGACGGAAGAACATTCGCCTTCGAGGAGTACCAGAGAGAATCTCGGGAGTAGACCTCCTGCCCTTTCTACACTGCTTACTGCACCATATAGGAGTCACAAGAGACTCTGGTACGGAATTAGTGACTGCAGCGTTCCGGATGCGAAAGGCGGCGGCTGCTCCAGAGGAAGCACCAAGAGACATCATTGCTGTCACCAAGGATGTTGCAGCAAGGTCCACTATAATGTCTCATTCCAGAGAGATTAAAAATATTAGAGTTGAAAGCTCAACAGTAGCGATATACGGAGACCTCCCGTTTGCTGCACTAATGGCAAAGAGGCACCTCACGCCATTGGCGAAACAACTAAGGGAAGCAGGCATCAAATATAGGTGGGGAGCAGAGGGATACTTAGTGGCCCAGAGGGAAGGGGAAACATTTATGTTAACCCCCCAAGGAGATCAAGCGGCGTATCTCAGACGACTGCACACTGCATACCCCCCCACACTGCATACCTAGGGCCATTGCACGGCCGACGCAGGTCCCCTGCTACAACCACGCAAGCCCCAGGGAGACTATCTATCGCACGACATTGTGAAGATAGCCCAGATAAGGGAAGTTAAGACCTCTTAGAACCAGAGGTTAAGCACATGTTTCACTCCCCTACAGCCCACAAACAGGGAACACTCAGAGGATCTGTATATAGTTAATATATAGTTACTAATTTACCACTGCTGCACGGGTGGGCACTAACACCCAGTTAACCTAGGATGGAAAGGGTGAAGAAAAGTCCAGGGCAGCCTACATACATACTAGCCCACGAGAGGGTCCCCACAAGAGGCACCCCCAAATGCTGTAATATAGAGATGTAAACCACACAGATAGACTGGAACAAGAAACTGTTGCACCGTTGTCTATAACTTACCATTTCTCTCATAAATTGTTAAAGTGTGTTTTGTGTGTGAAAACTCAATAAAATACAAATTTGAAGAAAAAAAAAATTATAAATCCAATTATCGTTTTTTCACAGTCACATATTTTTTCTCACTTTTTTGTATAGATATTCTATATGGTGTAATTTAAGTTAATAAAGACTATATTATTTTTAACTCTAGTACTACCAGGAAGAATTAAATTACTGATGATAATTGTTTGAGATTTAATCTCCTTTTTTTCTTCTGGGGACTCTCTTTAACTTCTTTTTTGAAGTTATACAAACAACCTACACTTTCTCCACCACAATGTCTCAAAGTGGCTGCAGCAATAACTCAGTTTGTCACTAGGTGGTGCCACTTGCATACTGTATGAATTAATGGGATAAATATTGTGCACGTCTAAAATCCTTACCTGTCGAGGCATGTCTGAACCACGTTACCCCAGAACTCACACCCTGTCCACCGAATAAGGGGAAAAGGACTTGGCCACAGATTTATTTACACCAACCGTACAAATCAACATATGTAAATAACTACTGCCAGTTAAAAGGAGAGTCTGTAAGTACATATGCCAGATGTTTATATATCAATGGTGGGTTTATGGGTATAATTCATCTCATCCTTCTTTATTTCTTTTGAATTAATTATGCTTATAAATAAAGGGACAGTAAGGTCTGGGACTGCAAAGTGAAGGACAGGTGATATTGACAGATATTACTCCCCGGCAGGTGTCCCATCTAACTAAATCAGCAGAAATCTCAGCGGTTGTCGATTTGCATCTTTAGTATTGTGTTCATGGGGCTTTCATGGACTTTCCACCACTTTCATGGTTATTCAATAAAGCATGAATTTAAATGAAATTCAAAGGAAATTTTACATTTTAATCCAGAATAGCCAAATTAGGAATATTTCCCAAATATTTTCCAATGTTTTCGTTTATGTTATTTTTGTATAAAATGTAAAAATCAGCTTGAATTTGTGGGAATCAATACTTTAGTAAATAATGCTGCCTATTCGTATTTTGATAAGCAATATTACATTAGTACTAACACAAAAATACAGGGATTTATTTTCACCAATATATACTATCATCATATTAAACGGTGGGGTAATAACTTCTTAATCCAAGGATAAATCTCACCACTCTGGGGTCAAGAAGGAATTTTTTCCTAGTTTGCTGCAAAATTGAAAGCGCTTCAAACTGGTTTCTTTTGCCTTCATTTGGATCAAGGGCAAAAACAGAAGTGAGAAAGGCTGAACTTGATGAACACATGTTTTTTTTATCAGCGTATGTAACTATGTAACTGTCAGGTGGTTCATTGACTAAACCTGTAATTGACAATTCTCAACAATAAAAGACGATCTGTCAGATCCTTGCACAATGATATATATATTTTTAATTCTTTATTTTACCGTGCAAGATAATTACAAGCATATGTGAAGTGCCACAACAGCACACTTAGATGAATAAAAGAAAAGTGTAAATTTGGCACTGATAAACTGCACATGTTTGTTATTGTATTGTAACAGGCTGGACTAGCTTGTCTATATCAGCATTGGCAGAGTGGAAATAATTAATCTAACAGAGATAGATAGATGCACATTTAGTATATCAGGTATTGAGGTGAAGACATGCTGATAAGAGAGGAATACGCATAAATACCACCGAGAGGCTACTGCTTAGGTTTAGACTTAACGTAATGGGAGGAGGAGAGGGATACTTTATAGTAACAGGAAGCAGTGCACAATGATATTTTTAACTAAATATTGTCTGTGGCTGTGCCAACCTGTACAGTATTTTATTAGTACTGTTAAATTAAAATAAACACCCACCACACATATAAAACACAGCCTGACCTCCATTTGCGAGCTCTAGTACTTTGAGATAAATACGTTGGTTTTGAGTTGCAGTTTGGGCACTTGGACTCAAAAAGGTTTGCGATCACTGCCCTAGGTAATGATGTGCACCATCTCACTTCTGTACATTCAACAGGGATTTGATTTGTTCTATTTGGTTAACTGATGTTCTATTGGATTGTTCATTTCAATGTTATTTCCTCTAGGTGGTTTAAGTGAGGAATTGGATCGAAATCTGCTTCAAATACTCATCATTTGTCTCTGAATCACTGATTTGATTTTTATTGTTGCTATTCGCATTGTTCATGCATTTTATTTCTATAGTGGTTTCTGTAAAAAGGGTATATAGGTCCCAGAGGCAATAATACCTATGTAACTTTGAAATTCTTTAATTCACACTTAGTAAAGCTGTTATTCTAACTTTAACCTGAAAAAGCGATGTGTCTGCAGCTCTTAGGAGTTGGAGTTTGATACATTAAAAAACATTCTAAGCACCATAACCACTATACACATGGCACACACCCTCTATAGTGTAAGCAGCCAACTGGCTGAATGGTTTGACTTCATTCCTTGGGTCTACTGGATGGAGCTCTCTGCTTCCATTGCCATCACATGACTCCTTACAATGGGAGTGGGGGGGGCATCAAAACTCTATTGACACCTTAACCACTATAACAAGATTAAGCGGTTATGTTCATTTGAGTATGTATTTAAATTCATAGAAGGATTACCTATTTTTTGACCAAAAAAATATTCATGAATGTAAATTCACATCTTAACAATACAATGTTATCATCTTTCTGCATCTTATATTACCTACTTTTGCTAATGCAGGGCTTTTTTGCAGTATTAACAATGCATTAAATATACAGGGTTTTGTATAGTTTTTTTATGGGTTGATTTGAATGGCAGCCAACTGCACTTTCCAAAAACATATTTAGAAAATGTTATTGATTTTAAAACATTGGGAGGGAGGGAGACGACTAAATGGGAGGGAAGGTCAGGGTTCTGAC